GAGTGAGATTATTGTGGTCTCTCAGACAGACTCTCAATGTTGTGCAGCCTGGTGCCTAATATGGTTGTAAACAGGCCTGAAGAGTAACAGATTAGATGTAATGGGATTACGTAATCAAGATGCATATTGTTGGGGAAAGATACAGTTTAACACTGTTTGCTACTGTTATCTTATACTGTTGTGCAGCACCTTGCAGCTGCCTCCTGTAAGACAGAAGTCAGAACTTGATTCATTTGTTTGTCCACGGAAAAAAAAAGCCGGTTTTCTCCTGCATTCCTTTAGAGTTGTCTCTTTTGAGGGCAAAGAGCAACATTTGACTATCGTAAAGAGAACCTAGAGTCAGACTACAGTCTTTTCCCATCTGTTGCCAACCTGATTCAGGACTATGATGCTGAATGCTGTGAAGACTATAAAAGTGTAACGTGACTTTCGGCTCCTCATACATGTGTGTGTGAGTTGAACCATGTTTCTGTATGTAATTCAACTCTGCTCCTTCAATAATAAATTGGGACCTGATCATTGATTCTCAAGCCGGTGTCGAGTGATATTTTTCCTAACACATATACCGATTATATCTTGGTTTCTTCTTTTCTAAGGTCACATTGCTCTGTTCTCTTACATAATACACTTAAAGGTGGGGTATGTAATTTATTTCAGAAACCCTTTTTGTTATATTCCATGGAATGCTCTTAACATCCCGATAGCAATGAATATATTAAATGCTTTGACAATAAATACATCTGTGGAAGTCGTAGTACTGTAAAAAGCACGACCAATCATTTTAGCCGGCCCGGCTAAAATAACTGGATGGCCTACCTGCCTGTCAGCCTTCCATCTGTGCACAAGCTTATCTCGTGCCCTCATTGGTCATGTGCGCGTTCGTGTGTGTTGGAGGAGGGGCTCTATAAGGAAGTGGCAGATTTTTTCCGGTTGTGTATTTTCAAATTCTAGCGCACTCGAGCCGGTTTCTCCAAAATTACCTACCCCACCTTTAAGTAAAAACATCTTATTTAAATTTATTTCCTCTTGTACTTATTTACCTTGCATTTGATATTGAGGAATCCAAAAGTAAACGGAAAGTAATCAGATAACATTACTTTTATATTGTGATACTCAAATCAGGTTACTGATTACATTTCTTTACAGGTAACTAGTAAATGTAACGGATTACATTTTCAAAGTAACCCTCCCGACCCTGTTTGTAAGTATGGTAAAGATAGAGCAAATGGCTAAAGTGCCATGTTCCTGTTGAATGTTGTGATTCTCTTTGGGACATTTGGCTTGAGTGTGAAGCCAGTGGGGGGTTGCTGTTGATATTGAAGTAGGGGTGTGCTCTGCAGACCGGCCGACCACCTGTCGACATGCTGGTGGGGCAGGCGGGCCGTGGAGGAGGGATTGAGTGGCTCATTAAGAGGGTCAGCGTTGGTTACCATGGATACTCTTTTAAATCTGTGTGTATGCTGGAATTCCTGTTCGTCGTCTCCCCCCCCCCCCCCCCCCCCCCCCTCCATCAGTGCAGTTTGCTGTTGGGCCCCTCGCTGTGTGCAATCCGCTGGTGAAACACCCCCTAACTAATGAAATCTAAACACCCTCACGACTTGAATCATCCTGTTTTCTTCCTGCTTACTCTGTCGGTTGTGGTTAATTAATTGCCCATTGATGAAGACGTGGGTCCAGTGGAGACAAAGAAAAAGGCTTATCCTGTTAAGCTGTGTGCAGTCTAATAAGGGCCAGGGGCCACATGTATAAAACTTCTTTCTAGACTGAAGGCTTGAGAGACTCTGCCTTGGAGGAAGAACTTAAAACCTCTTCTGACCAACTATGTGTACACAAGCTCACCGCCTGTTTCCATTGGTGGATAATGGATATTAACACACCACTCATGAATCCTGATTAGAAAATATCTGATTCTGGCCCCATTCTTTGTTTGATCTGGCATCAAAGACGTTATTGTGTTTGTCGCCCATAACCCTTAGCCGGTTAGCACGAGGGGTTCAAATGTTGTATTTGACCTATTTATTCTGCGTTTCTACTTCTGCATTACAATATTGGTGAAGGAATTACACATGAACCACTCATTGTATGTTGACCTATGTACTCACGCTTGAATAATCCAGTGAATTCTTGCTACCCTGAAGCCTCATACTTTTGTTTTATCCGAAAGGTGCAGTTAAGTATTTTGCCAGCATCGATGCCTGTTGCTTTTGTTCTTTAATGTATTAATGAATGACATTTAAAAAACAAAGCAACAGGCATCAATGCTTCCTCAGCTCTTAGAGGGGAACTTGTTGGAAGCATAAATGAGTTTAGTTTCACATGGGAATCGGTTTAGTGAACCAGCAAACTGACACCAGACACCACAGAGCTCGTATACAAAAGGCAAGGGTATCGGTTACTACTCTTCATCTCTAGGCAAAAAAACAGTTAAATCTCTCTGGAAAAAAGACTAGCAGGGAAACCTCAGGACAATGGGAATGGGAAGGCAGAGGCATGTGGCCAGAGAAGTAGCCTGATCCTGACCATGTGGCTGTGTGGATCCACGAGTCTGCAGCATACCGCACATTACTGGCATCTGGAGCGTAACACAACGCATCAGACAATGTTGCACACTGGCTTTACTACAGCAATACACCCTGGCCGCAGTACAGACCCGGGCTTAGGACACACACTCACAGAAGATAAGATACTGTTATGACTGAGGGATGGGATTAAATCATGTCACCTCCAGCTGGATTGATGGCAAAGCCTTTGTGTGTGAAGGCAGCAACCAGTTAGAATCAGTTATTCAGGGTGATAATAAAGTGAAGGTCAAGCTGGTGTTGTTTTCAGTCATTATAAAAAGCAAGAGAATTACTGAAAGACAGAACAACTGTAAAAAATGATTCTCTTTTGCATACACATGCGTCACAGAGATGTTGATTTTGACTGTTATAAACGAATAACAACTATATATATTACTTCTACAACCTCTCTAACCTAATGCTATCATGACTGTAGCTAGAGACCCATTTTCCCTGTAGCTAAAAACACTTATCATGGTCAACCTTGGCATGTACGTAACCTTTGCCTTTTGAGTAGAAAAGTATGTGTTTTTATCCCATAAGGGAGAACATACAAAGGAAAGCAGAGAAGCACCAACGTAGCATTTTTTACAGTGTACCACACCTCGATAGTAGAACCACAACAGAAGTTCACCTCTCACCACAGCAGTGTGTGTTCTGCAGGATGAGGAGTCGTAGGCTTACAGAGGCAGGGTGGGGTGGCTACAGAAAGACGTTATACTGTATAATTACAGAGCCTCTTTCCTAAATAGAACCCAATGCCTCTCTTTATGAGATTCTCCCCCTGTATGAGAAACTGTCAGAAGAAACAGAGTCGGCCTCTGTGAGTGAGTGTGAGTGAGTGTGTGTGTGTGTGTGTGTGTGTGTGTTTTCAGACAAGACTTCACTGTCTGCTCTGACCAAGAGTTGCCACTGTGAAGGATAGGAAGGGATTTGTCTCATGTGATAGAAACCATGAATGAGTAAAGAGATAGTCAGGTGGGTATCTCTTCTATAGCCCAGTAGTTGCCATACTTCTGCAGTAAGAAGTAGCTGTTTCAGCATGGTGCAAGCTTAAATTCGACTTAATCAGAAGGCCCAAAATTCTGCCCCGCATCGCATTTCGCTACTATAGCTGCAACCTTTGAACAATCTTTATAAAAAATGTTGGATGGATAAGATACAATGACTTTAACGCACACTTTACTGAAATGGTCTTGCAATTAAAGGGTTATGAATGCATTTTGTTTTGTTTATCCATTATCAGTATCGCTATGTACATCTGATTTACCAAATGTTTACATGGACTGGCCCCCCCTCCCCCCCCATTAGGGGAATTCACCCACAAAAAAAACACTGGACGTTGCACTAGGTCAGAAACCAGAGGAGACTGTGAAGTCCACTGCAGACGGACCACTTTTGGACAAAATGTCCTCTCCATTAAAGGCAGCTCATTGTGGAATAGCCTCCCAACTGAGATACGGGATTGTCCCACTCTCAATAGTTTTAAAGATCAACTCAAAGAATGGTTGAGAAACAAACAGACGTGCGATCACCGCTAAATGCACTTTAACACAGGGGAATCTCCTCTTGCACTTTATGTATCGATGCTGCTATTTTGTATTACCATGTCCTAAATACTTGGGTATTCTACTCTTACTCTTGCACTTTTCTTGCATTTTATGTATTTGTACTGCTATGTTTGTCATTTTCATTTTCTTAATGTTTTATGTGAGGGACTGCGGATGGAAAGTAGCTCAAAGCTAAATCCGGCATATTTCCACTTGGCATATTTCAAGTTTTAAGTGTTCATTAATGTGCTCATTAATGTCCCTGCCAAATAAACAAACAAATAAATGATACTGTAACATAGAACTTGAATGAATAGCAGTCTGTTCGAGGAGACACCTTGTAGGGCTACCTTTACTGTGTGTAGTTCATCGGTTTTGGCTTCTAAGGTTTAACCGACTGTAGTGATTTACTACTGCTATTTCTGTCCATATTCGGTACATTGCATGTGTGGCCATCCTGAAAGAGGAATCCCTGCCCTTCTGCTTTGAGGTTCCTCCATTTTTTTTTTTTCTAGCTCTGCTTGAACTTAATTGAGGGTCTAAGGATAGAGGCGGCATGTTGTTCAGATTTCAGACTGTGTGATTTCTCGTTATAACTCTTTTGTACGCTCCTCTTGTTATCATTTTACTGTTTGATTAGTTGCAATTAGTGAATGGTAAACTTCTTCAGCCATAAGAGTGGGGGATTTTGCTTCATTCCCTCCTTTCAAGTGAAGCTTCTGTAGGCGACAGTATTGTTTTCAAAGTGCACATTGAAACCCTGGTCATTCCTTATCCAAGAGCCCGATAAATACATGTCTGTATCTGATGGGTTATAATGATGTGGAAAGTCCTGAAACTGATATGGTCATGTTTTCCCTCCCTCTTTTCTCCATTGTTCTGTGTGCAGCTGGCCTGCTGCTGCGGATCAGCGGCCTGCGCCTGCTGCTGTAACTGCTGCCCCAACATCAAACAGTCCACTGGGACCCGCATCATGTACGCCTTCTACTTCCTGCTGGTCACCATCGTCTGTGTCATCATGATGTCCCCCACGGTGGAGCAGGGGTTACAAGACAATGTAAGTGCATAAATCACCAAAGCAAAGTATCACTATACAGCACAAACACACATGTACATGCTTTTAATATAAACTTGCATACACAGAGGTATATAATTTAAAGAATGAAAAAGTTCCTTAACAATTTATAAATCCTCAAGGTAGTTAACCCACCTTTTATTTTGACATACATTTGTCTAGATTTATTTAGATTGTTGGAGCAAACTTCTGCATAGGTGAGCAAGGCACAAAGAGCATTGATGGCTTTGAATTGGTTTTTCTACACTAATGTATGGGAATTTGGGCTCTCTTTGGATTTTAAGAAATTAGATTGTATTGCGAAACAACTTTTATGATTTGTTAAATTCCTTTCTGCTCTCTGATCATCTAAAATGCAGTCTATTTGCTCACAAAAGTAGTTATGTCTGCATTTTCTAGTCTTTATATTATAGTTGACATCAATTTATATTTGTTCCCCCAAGCAATAAGTCTTAATTCTGCCGTGTCGTTGTTAAGGGAGGCGTGTGGTGCAGTGGACTAGTGTGTTGGTGTTCGGATACGGGGAGCACAGGTTCAAACCCCACTGCAGTCAGCTTGTGTTATGTGTTTTGTCTAGTTTACTGACTAGAAGAGTGGGGGGTCAGCTCACGGGCTGTAGTTACCAAGCCAACAGTAGCTTCAACACTGTGACCTTTTCCACTGTTTGGCCTACCGCTGTGTTACTGTCTTCCCGCTACTGATTTTTGCAGAAGTTAGCAACTATACACAAAGGAGTGTCGTTAGAGTGCAGTGTGCAGAAACGCTGACTACCAAGGAGCAGAAGTGAAAAGGAAAGAGGATATACAAACTCCACTCATTTTTAACTAGATGTTGTCTGTTCGAGTGAGACATCTTTGGTGTTTAACTCTGTGGTGTAAATAGATTTTTAGAAATGTTATCCTGCAACAGGCAAAGAAGACATCCCTCTGTTACATATCTGTATATCATGGCAGAATGAAGGCCATAGTGGAGCAGGCAGGAGTTCAGGCTGGTAGCTTTTAGTTTTTTACCCCTAGCCTCTGAAGTTGTGAGAAGATACACAGGAGCTGCCCTCTCATTTGATCCTTATTGCTCTCATGTGTTTTCCCCCTCTTTGAATCATTATTACGCAGGATTATTATAAGATTGACTCTTTCTGTGTTTCTGAGAAATGTCAACAGAACTGTAAGGCTTTGGTTGCATCTGTTACAATACAGTGAGTCAGACTGTAGTGATACATCTTCGTTTCATCCTTTTCTGAGTTATAAGGAATTATCTGAACTTGAGAGTTAATGTCCCTCTTTAAGGAATCCTCCTGAATAAGCATTTATTAGACTAGGATGATTACTAGGAGCTGACAGTGCTACTATGGCAATCACTGAAATCAAGATGCTATTTGAAAACTCTGTATTTTTCCACCAATCTTCTTCTGCTGTCTTTTCTTCTCTCTTTCCCAGCCAGTGTCTACTGTACAGTATTACAATGACTCCCTACTGTGTGTCTCCTTGTGAGAGGGCAGCCCTGTAAAAGACTCACCCAGGCACAAAATGGCCTCTGATAGCCCCACGCAGAGCCTGCTGGGTTACACACACATACATGCACATTTACACGCACACTGCCAGTCACACACTGAGCACAGTGGGAAGTCCCGGCTAAGAGAGCAGCCATTGTGCGTACGAGAGTGCTGGTCTTTTCTCAAGAGATTTACAGCTGTCCGAAACAGCCGGCCCCCTTCCCTCTTAATCATGACACCATGGACATGCTAATATGGTCCTCGACGTGAGACAAAAAGCTCCCAACTGGCCTTTTTACTCTATGTTGTGATCTGGCTCTGCACTGTGCTCCACACTGAGGTGATGACAACTCAATCCCCTGGCGTCTAACCCATGTGTGTAACCTCAAGGAACAAAAACTCTGCCAATAACTAGTAAAGCCGACTCAAAGCGTTATCTGAATGTAAATATCTGTGGTTCTCTCAAAGCTTGACTCCAAAGCAGAACTTGTATTTGACTTTGATTCACATCTCTAATGTCAGGGGGCATCAGAGAAAGGAAATAAATTCAAGCCTTCATCCTCTGGTTATCATTTCGAAGGCTGTCTCTTCTGTTGGCACCGAGCCACTGAGGCACTCACAATTTCCTGTAGAAGGCCACAGCAACGTCCTTATCTACTTGACTGATTCCAGTTTTTTTTGCTTTGTGTTTTATTATGTTGCTCACTGTAGGTTGACATTTTTTTTTCTCAAGACGGATCTGCCAATCTTTTCCCTTTGCTCCATCTCTCTCTGCTCTTTGCTCTTCCCAATCCCTTGCTGATAGAAGGCGGTTAATTTATTCATCTGCGCCTTTTGTTTCTGTACACTGACAGTTAGTTGTAAGGCCCCCCTAACAGCCCGCAGAGAACAGGGGATGAAAGAGGGCCACATGGAGAGAAAGAGGGGTTGTTGTTGCCGCCTGTTTTCTCTTTCTGCTCTTTAGAGGCGTGACGCTCAGAATAGACGTTCTCCGGTCTTTTCTGTGAAGCAGCGTACTAGACAAACATGAGCAGAGGTGGGGGGGGGGTTCAACACCATAATGATCTAATCAAAGTGTTTGTAATGTGTCAATCAGATCCCGTTCTACGGTCAGATGTGTGAGCAGATGAAGGCAGGGGAGAACTGCCAAACTCTGGTGGGCTACACGGCCGTCTACAAGGTGTGCTTCGGCATGGCCTGCTTCTTCTTATTCTTCGCCATCTTCACCATCCGCATCCACAACAGCACAGGCTGGAGGGCGGCCGTGCACAACGGGTGAGAAAGGCCTTCCCCCCCCCCCCCCCCTTTCTGTCCACTTTGCATCCTGTCATTTATTAAACAATTTACATCCATCTGTAATGTCTTGCTGGCCTGGCACCCTAAATGTGTTGTGTTGGTCTCTCATAACAAAGGTAAACACAAATAAATCACTTGATGGAAGGTATGCACATTGCAAGCAGTCAGGTTTTCATTCATTCTGCTATTAGTTCACATATCACAAGATATAGTGTGCAAAGATTTAATCCTACAACATGACAGGTGATCTCGAAACAGTTTTCCTGAACATAATTGAATAGGCTTATATGCATTATGACATAAACATAGACACCTGTTACCTTATAATGCAGATCTCATCCTCCAAAATGTGTTGCTTAGTATTATTTACTTGTTATCTAAGATTACTTATTTCTAAGTATTCTGTATTTCCTATACTATATGCTTTGTGTTGACACATGCATTTTCCCATGTTTATTTCTTATATTTTCTATGCAATGTGAAAGGTGGAGTTGTTTGTTATTTCTTAGTGCTTAGGTTGTTATTCATTCTGCCATTAGTTAGGTTAGGTCCATTCAGTATCTCTGCAAATACTAGAAATCATAAGATATTGTGTCCAAACTATTTAATCCTGCAACATGAGAGGGGATCTCGAAACTATCGAAATAATTGAATACGCTTATATATAAATGATGACATAAACATAGACACCTGTCACCTTATAATGCAGAGCATATGATTGAGAATGTGTTGCTTAGTATTTTTAACTGTCATCTCATCCAAGATTACTTATTTCGTTTTATAAACTGTATGCCTTGTGTTGACACATACATTTTTTGAGTTTCAAAATCCTAACTTAGGCAGACATTCAGTACTTACCGCCTCTGTTATTCCAATGTTTACCTTGTATATTTGATATGCAATGTTGAAGGCTTGTGTGCGTCTTATCTCTTAAGTGTTCAGGTCAGCTTTCAGGTTAGTTTGACCATCAATGTGCAGAGACTTTAGAACAAATCATCCCCTCCCTTTCCTGTGAGAGGGTCTTATCTTTACGCCTTAAGAGATAAAAAGCTGGAAGCTCTCTGGAGGGAGGAGGAAAGATAAGACAGCCAGGTGTTCTTTTCTGTTTAATGCTGGGAGGTGTATGGGAAACAGATCTATTTAGTCAGCTGTTTTTGTGTGTTATGTTTACTTCATCCATGTAGAAGCTTTAACAATATCACTGTTTTAAATGTCAGGTTCTGGTTGGTGAAGTTCATCGTGCTGGTGGCGTGCTGCGCTGGAGGCTTCTTCATCCCGAATGAGGAAGTCTTTCTGGAAGGTAAAGAGAGGTCCCTCAAAAGGACTGTCTTCAAAGCTGGTATTCATGCTGTATTTTGATTGAGAACATATTCATATAATCCCACTTAATTAGCAAAGTAAAGAGTAAGAGGAATTGATAAAACATATCAGAAAAGTTTGCAGTTTTCTAATTATGCATCATTATCCAAGCTCACTCAACTACACTGCCTTTCACACAAACTTCTGAAAATTACCCTGCCATCTTATCTTTGGTTTTAATATAATCTTGCAGCATGAAAAGTGCATCAAGTCAAAGATATCTGCTGTAAGGTCTTCTTATCTCTAAAGCTTTTCTCTCCCTGTGTCCACACAGCGTGGCGCTACATAGGAGCGGGTGGCGGCTCCATTTTCCTGCTGATCCAGCTCATGCTTTTGGTGAAGTTTGCACACAGATGGAACACTAACTGGTGAGCAACATGTCTTCAATCTGCTCTTGTCTCTTTTTTTATCCAAAGTCTCCGGCTCTCTTAAGTTAACATGAGCGACCTGTAAATAGGAGCAGTGGAGTGCTAATTATTTGATCATGTGAAAGCTGGGATGACACGTATTCCCCTTAAGTAAGTTTGGAAAGAAGAAGTCGTGTTTCTTTGCTTTTTGTGGATGGAGGCGGGGCTTGGCCGACATTTCCCAGGATGCATGTGGTTTAGGAGTGTGTGTGCTCAGTTTCACACAGACACACATACCACAGCAGATTGTTTTGAAATATTTAGATGTTTTGGTAACCATTACAGTAAACCCTAACCTTTCAATTTGTAATAGAATGTGTTTTTTATTCAAATCTTGGATTTCCAGCCATGGCAAAACAGATTTGAAGCTTTTGCTTTCTGCTTTCACTTCCTCTACCGCTCTCTTTCTGTCTGCAGGAGTTCAGGGGTGAAGCATAATCGCTTGTGGTACGCGGCCCTGGCCTTTGTGACCCTGATGCTGTTCAGTGCTGCGGTCGGGGCCTTGGTCTTCATGGGAGTTTTCTACACTGACCCCGAGGCCTGTTTACTGAACAAGATCTTCCTGGGCATCAACGGCAGCCTGTGCCTCGTCGTCTCCCTGCTGGCCATCTCCCCCTGCATACAGAAGCGTGAGTGTCGTGTCAAATGTTCATATAATAATTTACATAATATATATAGACTACTTTATTAAATATAACAAAAGACAAACTTTGTCCATGAATCATTTCTCAGTTTCTCTTAAGGAAATTAGAATTTGCTCCACAGTGAGGACCTGTACTTGTCTCATTTGACTGTCAAATACAAAATATACAAGCATTTGCATCGGATGCTTTTGTTTTTTTGAAAGCTACTTGACATATCACAAAGGGTATTTCACACATTTCACATTTGGGACCCATAGGAAATATAAAACAGATAATAAAGACCGATGGCTATAATACTTACAATATGTGGTAGAATTCAAGAATCTAGCAGTAAGTAATGAATACTTTGTTTAATGTTGTGTCCCTGCAGTGCAGCCCACATCAGGCCTGCTGCAGCCTGGAGTCATCAGTGTGTACGTCATGTACCTCACCTTCTCAGCCTTCTCCAGCAAACCAAAAGAAAGTGAGTATCAACAGACACACATCTGCACCTGGGATTTAAATATATAGTTTTATTGGATTTAAGGACACTTTCCACTGAAAACATGAACAACATTTTGTTTGAATGAGACAGAAAAAGTGTGCCTTGTAACCACTTTAATATTCAGTTTAATTGGGAAATAAGTTACAGTAAAAAACCTGAAGTCACTCTAACATATGTTTCACTCTAACTTAAAGATTAGCATTTATTGTATTTATAGTCATTTAAAATGAAGCTTGCAAGTTAAACATTTTGAAAAATTACTCGTATCACTTTTAATTAATAAATATCCCTTGGTTAAAATTCATTAAAAACCCTAAAACAGACACGAGGGAAAGAGGATCATCCCTCCCCAAAAAACGAATACTTTGTCATGTTTTGTTCCAGTTGAAAACACAGATTTGACTGTGAAGTGTTCAATGTTATCATAACAGATAAGGATTCCTGCGCATCTGTTCAGTGAAAAGTGTTAGTTGTTGTTCACTGAACAGGAAGAAACATAAACCCAACACCACATAGTGAAGCCTGTCTAAGATAAGGCATTACAATCTCTATAATAGCTGCTCAAAGGGTAAACTGTGAGATTTATGGGAAGTTGTGAATCTTAAAGGGATTACTCTGCAGAGCCTGAGGAATCCATCCCTACAGGGCTCCTGTTTCCACTGCTGCTGTCAAGATAATATTCTATGCTGCCATACTATTGTAAAGATAATCTTACCATAAATATTTAATATCAGCACATGCTCGCTAAGTAACACAACAAGTGTAGTACACACTGTGGGGTTGTTGGCGCCTTGTAGCGAAGTTTTTCCTCCTGCTCTCCCACTGACACTGTGCCAAAATACACACTGCATATTTCTCAATAATCCTACTCCTCACTCACTCTACTTCTTCTTTGCCCTCATCCATCTCTGTCTTCACTTTCTTTCTATCTAGTCGTGGAAAGAAATGGTATGAACACCACCGTGTGTGTGTTTCCCATCAACGCTGGGACGGAGAGCGACAAGAAGATCGTGACCGCTGTTGGAGCCATTATCCTGTTTGGCTGTGTGCTTTACTCTTGGTAAGACACACACACACACACACACACACACACACACACACACACACACACACACACACACACACACACACACACACACACACACACACACACACACACACACACACACACACACACACACACACACACACACACACACTTGCAAGCCAAGTTTCCATATAATATATATACTGTATCTTTTTAGTTGTATATCATTACATTTAAAGAGTTTATATATAACGAGAAGGCCACAATCCAAACACATTAACTGCAGTTCTGTTCCAAGCAATGTGAAATAATAGGGTTTCATGGCAGGCTATAGCGACAGAGACAGGGTCGTTTTGATTGGCCGTGACTCAGCAGAGGCAGTGCATGATTGGTTCTGGCATGGCTAGGCGTGTGAGAGATAGCTAATGTCTTTTTGTGTTTGTTAACATGTGTTTCCCATCAAGCGGAGGCATCATGTCTCCTACACTTGTTCCCTGAAGGAGAGCGAATTACACTGTGCTAATGAATGGAAAGATACATAGTTACAAAATGACTACCTTTCTCTCCCTCCGTCTGTAATTGTTTCTCCTTCTCCACCCTCCCTTTAGCTTGACTTCCACCACCAGACGAAGCTCTGCAGCGCTTAGAGTGTATGGGAACAGTGAGCCAGAGATTGAGGTAAATGCACAATTATTCACATCCCATAATAAAATATATCGACTAATGAATCACATTAACAGGATCAGACGATCGCAATTACACGTCTTTATCAAATTAAACAAATTATGCCCAAGAGACATAAAGAGTGTTGGTGGTAACATGTGTGTTTTTCTTTATCCTGCAGAGAGCTCGCTGCTGTTTCTGTTGTGGTGATAACACAGGTGAGGAAAGTCAAATAGTGTCCCCTCCCTACTGCATCCCCCCCCTCTCTCCCCCTGCCTCTCCATTTTGCTCGGTGTGTACGATAGTGTTTGCACACAGAGGGGATAACTCATTGCTATTCCTCAGCCAGATTCAGGATGGTGAGAAAGTATTGGTCAGCAAACATGGATGATGTCACTGTTACTAGGAGAGTAGTATGACACAGTGAAGCAGGACCAGCAGCAACGAGACAATGTGTATAGAGCGACACTGCCCCCTGCTGGAAATAAAAGAAACAAGTCAAGTGTTGGCAAATAGAACCACAAGAAATGTTTTCAAGATTAAAGGGTTTTATTATCATATGCTGCACAGTAGCTACAGTGTAGTTATGGCAATGAAAATCGTATGTCTCGAGCTCCTCCAACAATGCAACATATAAAGGACACAAAATAACAATAATAATATAAAAATAAAAATAGTGCAAATGTATCACCACTTGTACACATATTCTTCTCTTGAGTTTATAGTGATTTACATGTTTACATCCTTTAAGACATCATGTGTTTACGGTATTTTCCCAATGTGTCCACTAACTTATGCCAATCTTCAAAAACAGGTTTGGGTGTAGGGTTAGGGTTAGATGTAATTCAGCAGGATCCTATGATGACCATTTTTGGAAAAGGAGTAATTAACTATACTAAAAAATAACGAATGTTGTCACTTAAGCTCAGAGATTGACCCTTCTCCACTGTTTACATGCAACATCTTAGAATTGAGAAACTTTGATTCCCAAAACGTCACTCTATATTAACCCCCACTTCCTGGTTGTCACTCCAAATGGAGCAAGTCACATGTATTTATAATAATTTCTTATGTTCGGTCTTTGTAGTACATCACATTAAGATAAAGCTTAGGTCTTTACTTTATTACTTACTTAGTTGAAAAGTGTCACTCACCCACACCCTGTTTGTGATTGTTAGACGACTGTGATGAGGAGAACACTGGTGGAGGCCAGAGCGTGAATTATGATGAGAGAGAGGGAACCATCTATGGCTACGCCTACTTCCACTCTGTCTTCTTCCTCGGATCGCTTTACGTCATGATGACCATCACCAACTGGTTCCAGTAAGTCATGCTTTAATTGTATTAAAGCACTTATATACTAATAAAGGACTGGCTTATCGAAAGCCAGTTGAGTAGCACTTGAAATGCTTTGGCTATGAAACCTGATGTACTTATATGATTCTGTTTTCTTCAAGTTTGTATCTTCCTAGTCGAATGCACTTATTGTAAGTCGCTTTGGATAAAAGCGTCAGCTAAATGCAATGTAATGTATTGTTGTTTGGGCATGTCATTAAATAAGTTCTTCCTGTTTTTCTAATAAGCAATTTCTCAGGTTCCTCGTTTGGCTTCCTGGAACACTAAATGTAAATCAGTCAGTTAAGCCTGTGCTTTTCCTGCTTTCTCAAGTAGAAATGTCAGGCAAGGAAATTGCATTTAATGAAAGTAAGATCAGATAAAGGATCACAGAAGGTCATTAGTTTACTTATTTTCTGGTTCAAAGGGCTTCATTGTTATATGCACAGATACAGTGTAGATATGCTCTGAAAAACATAAGTCACAGGCTCCTCCAACAATGTCGGTGGGGTTACTCACTCTGTGCTTGTTGTTTACAGTTATGATGACCATAAGATTGAGAAGCTCCTGGAAGGGAGCCTGTCAGTGTTCTGGATCAAGATGGTCTCCTGCTGGGTCTGTCTCGTCCTCTACATGTGGACCCTTGTTGCTCCCATGGTGTTCCCGAAGCGTTTTGAGGCCTAGGACACCCCTCCCCCCCCCACACTGAGGTCAGGCTACTCAGGCAGAAGCTCTCACGCTGAGCCAGGGACCAGCCCCCCCCCCCTTTACCTTAAAACACAAACCTACACTCAGCGTGGAAATTGAGGATTATCTGTTGCCTTTTGTTCTATTTTACTTTGTTTTACAATGTTAATACCTTGATGGTAGTTTTGCTATCTTTTACTACCACTTACTCATGGAGTTTTGTATTGCTTACACATTTGAAACTACATAAAGAATCATGGGAGTACATTGTGAAACATAATAAGCCTCCGACCCCTATAGATTCCTTCATGATTTCAGATTTGAAAGTGTGTTTTGTAAGTATTTACTGTGTGTCCGTTTGTTTCAGGTTTTCTTGTGCTTTTACTCTCAGCCAGGCATTTCAGTTCTGTGTAGTTGGACCATAAAGTTGTAGCAAAGTTTTGGGACAAATGTATTTAAGGTTAAAGATGTTACAAGATCAATTGTATTTATTTAAGTGCATATTCAGTTATCAGGAATCATTTTGTGAAGGTGTGGTATGAATTGAATTACAATTGTCCCTGACTCTGTTTAAAATCTCATCTCTCAGGCTCACATGTAAGCTGTTTGTGTTTGTGTTTTCTCGCTCTCTTTTTGTAGAAGTTTTCTATGCAACAGAACAAACTCTTTTAGATATTACACCCAGTGTTGTGAAGTTTCCACAAAGATTTTATTATTGTCCGTGCTCCCTTTGAGCCAGATTATTTCTTAGGAAAATCCATGTCCACTCTTCAACATTTCCAGTCATCGTTGTTGTTGTACAGGGCAGTGCTATTCAAATCAACCTGCCTTACATAAGAGTGACGTTAGTGGAGCGCCGCCTCTCTGGAAGAGCTGCAGTGACACAGTGAGGAATGTTTGCCAAAGGTAGATGTCAGAAAACAACCTACTACATCTAAATTGTTTGGTCGGTTAACAAAAAAAAAAAACATATGTATTTGCATGCACACACGGACACTTAAATCAGCTATTTTCTGTACAGTTTTAAAGGCTTTTGTTACATGTGTCAGCTCATAGTGGAGGTCAAAATAAAGTAGCATGAGGGTTTTTATTAGTGAGTTATTCAACACTGGATGTTGAGTTTACTGCCGAATTAAAATTCACACAAAGATCTTCAGCTGTTTGTTGCCAGTGTAACAGATTTTGTTTGTATATAAATACAATGTATTATGCATTGTCAACTGCAAATCTTGTATGCTCCTCATTCATCAATAAATCAGTATGTCATTTTGTCTGACTGTATTGCTAACATGCTTTTTAATATGTACATTTTGGCTTAAGTCCTGTGGTCTGTTCACTCTTTCTTTCAATGTCTGCTTTATATACCTGCAAATATTGTCATGCGACTCGTCTTCTGTTGAAAAACTGCTTTTTAACTATCGGTATGAATGTAGAAGATAAATGGTGCTCTTGGCTTTGATATCAATCAAAAAAATCAGATAGCAGAAGCTACTGTGAAGCCTACCATAACACACAGGACCACTTTAGTAGTATGTTTTACTATATAGGCTGAGATGTGGGTGCCATGCACTTCATTGTTCACATTCTTTCAATAAAACATACATTGAATGCCATGTGGTGTCTTTTATTTACTGATATTTTCCTCCATACAGATAAATAACACAATGATCTGATGTAAAATACCACATACAACCTGCCTTGATTTCCTTCTTAAATGCTCAGATTATTTTTTGTTTTAGCAACGTAATCTATTACAGTATTTACGTACTAATAAAATGTTGGTACAATTGCTTTGAGATCAAAATACACAGGACCTGTTTTTTTATACAATAATGTACTAGCTTCAGTTACACACAAATAAAGTATATAATGCCCAATTTGTAAGCTTTCCTAAGACCCTCTCACTCAAATGACCACGTTAAAATAATCTTTAACCAACCCAGTCCATCATGTTTCCTCTCACTTTTCATTTGACCTCACTACCTCTTTGTTCTCAACAGTGCAGCTCTAATAGTTTATCTGATGGATCTCTGCGCTTCACTCTGTGTTCTGGGCATTGAGATCCTCGTAGTCAGCAGGAATAGTGTCTGTGGGGATGAGAAGGAAAATAAACTCACAGCGTACTTACAGTTTAAGTGGCTGATTTAGCTTTGTTTACCTTGCTGATACTCACCATTGCAACGGTACTTCAGGTTGGACCAGATGATGTTTTCCTGAGAGAAGCAGAACACGCCCAGTCTCCCTCCTCTCATGCTGGTGTCAATGATCCCCTCGGTGTCCGCCACCAGCTTTGGACCCTCAAAGAATCGAGCCCTGGTTCACACAAGGTGAAACTAGTTAAGTCAGCTCACACTGTATGATTGTGAATGTATATAAGTGTCGATGTGTGAACTGCAGTGGGGGCAATGTTATGAAGTACTGAATTTAAGAACAATCCTGAGGTATTTCACTCAAGTCTTCTCATTTCATGCCACTTAACACTTTTGCTCCACTACATTGTAGACACAAATATTGTACTTTATACTGCATTTATCTGGCAGCTTCAGTTAATTGTGTCCTAACAAATTAAGATTTTTATACTGAAAAATATATAAAGAGTTTGACTATAAGGGTAACTTTTTCGAAAATGGTTTCAACTTCTCATAGAAGAAGTCTTTCAGATGTTCCTTTATTTTTTGTTCCTGTTGAAATATATTGAAATCAATGAAGGCTTTTAAAAAAGTTTTATACAAACTAAACAATAGATCTACTAATGGAAATCAAACAACAGCAGATACATCTAAAATGAAAATAATCATTAGTTTCAGTCTGATACCAAATAGAACAACTTTTGCTCCACGTCAGCCACACAGAAAAATCCTGCTTTTACATCAATGCACAATTATAATCATATCATCAGGGGGATTTTATTGCATAAGGCACTTACATTTTGTACACCTATGTACATTTTTCCTGATCAAACATAAATAATTTTACTTAAGTACAGTGTGGTATAAGTATTTTATGTATCACCGCTGGTGTCTGGATGTGTGTACCTGATGTATCCGACCTGTGGTCTGTGCTGGAGGAACCAGCGGTAAGAGACCTTGTCCTTCCAGCCAACGTTCCTCGGGTCCTTCCACAGCAGGCGCACCTGGTCGGGGGTGTCTCCTGTGTGCCACAGGGAGTTCCTCAGATACTCACCAGGACCCGTCTTTGACTTCACAACCTAGTATCGATAAAGACACAGAGAGCATAGAAGAAGAGACAAAACTGTTGATGAGAGTAAGAACATTTCCCCAGCAGTAACTCCGGAGGTAGAGTGGGCTGCCGCTAATCACAGGGTGCCAGATCAATCCCAAAAGCCTCTTGTTCACCTGCACAGGCCCAAGTGTCAGGGGCCACTCTGGCTTCCACCAACATGATGCCACTCAAAGAGAAGTGTACCATCCAGGAAGAGACTCAAAATTACAACAAAAAAAACCACTAAAGACACAAACAAACTACAAAGAGATGCATAACAGCGACAAAAGGACGAAGAGACTCACAACGACTATGAAAAGGGCTACAACAACCCAAAAGAGACTAAAAGCAACTACAAAGAGGCTTGATATGACCACAAAGAGACACAACATGTTCAGGAACAAACGGACAAAAAAAAGACAAAAACACCAAAAACTGTCTTAACAACTATAAAGTTTGTGGGTCTAGATCCTTAAACGCCTTTTGCATGTCTTTGCCCATAGCATAATCCATCCATGATCCTGTCAAAGTGTCCTTGGGCCAGAAATGGAACTCATAATTGCTCCGCATAGCTGGCTGCCATCATAGTGTGATTGTGTAGAGGGAGCAGCCATTCACCTTGAGTTGTATTCCCGGGTCAGCGACGGCTCTGAAGGGCGCAGCCTGCCAGTACGTTTGCTCGGTCTGTTTCCACATCACCACGTAGAAGGAGGAGGAGTCCTGGTAGCCGAAGATGAAGCCAGCGTAGTCATCATCAGTCACCGTGTTTACGTGGAAAGTTCCCTCAAAGTCAACACCACTGAACGCTTTGTAGCCTACAAATGCAAGAGATGAGAAGACATGACAATAACATGTTAGGAAAAGGCTGCAAAAACACACTGACTCAGATGGGAAATGTTCTGTTTTAGGTGGGGGTGTGACGATTCTTCTTACCTACAGCAAGGCCAGGGTCAGAGTTCATTGTCTGAACAATCTCCATGCCCTGTGAGGACAACAGAGAGTAGCTTCACTTTCTTTGCCCTATTATGACACTGTGATTTTGAAAGGGATTGTGCTGCTAGAAGCATCATATTGTGAACACGTCAAGCCTCTTCAGTAGCATGTTATCACACCGTTAAGATTATATTTTCTTCATCCTAACTGGAATGATCATGTTATTATAGCATGTAATGATGTTGTTATCCGAACATTACTTTACTATTACTAAATAGGTTTGTCTTGTTGTTATCTTTAAATGTATTTCCCTATTATAACTCTTTGTTGTTGGTCCATTAATAGACTGTTACAATAATTCCAGTCTACTATTATCCACATACAGCCATTGTTAATACCAGGTTATTATACAAGACGATACGATAATACTTTATTGACAGATCGAGCCTGAAATGTACTTTATTACTTGGCTACTTACTTACTTTAGTGTTAATTAATTAATACTTATTTTACATACAATTATTACCATACAATTACGAGTTATTTTCAAGTTTGAATGTAAAGTGCAACTCTGAATGCTAACACACTGAAACAGAGGCTAGTTATCCAGGTTGTTTACCTGGTTGAGGACCACCCAGTTGGGGTCGATCTGAGAGTCCCCCTCTGGATCCAGCACTACGGTCTGATAGGCTCTGAAGTCAGTCAGCGTGACTTCTGCGTTCTCTGGGCAGTGGTCGATTATGTCAATGACGTTGTCTTGGTCAAAATCTCCTTCGCATGCGTCTCCGACATTGTTTTCTGAAACGCACAGACACAGATCAGGGACCAAAACACATACTGTACTGTACACACGCACCTGTACAAATGCATGTACGTACTCAGGAACTAATATGATGTCTATAAAGGTTAAGGGGCGACCCAGAAGCTGGACCCTCACATTTTATAAAACAGAAATTACAACAAAAAGTAAATTAATTAATACATAAATAGTAATAATTAAATAATATATATATACAAAACTACATTTAATATATGGTATTCATGATGAATACGTTTTTTTCTAACTTTCTTATAATTGTTTTATTTTTCCCTAACAAAATCTTGGCAACTGTCCTGTATTAAAATGTTTTCTACTTCCTCGTGTTGTTGTGTTAATGTGAACTACAGTATATACTATAAATATTGTACTGTATGACACTTACCATCTGTGTCCTCTTGGTCTGGGTTGGGAACAAGTCTGCAGTTGTCGTCATCATCCAGGATGCCGTCATTATCATCATCATCGTCACATTCATCTCCCTATCGAGAAGAAGTATTTTAAACAAAGAGCCATCTTTATTTCAGCGTACATTCGAGTAATCAAATATAAAAAGTGAAGTATGAACAAGGAGATTAAAACCATTCCATCCTTGTCGGTGTCCAGCTGAGAGGAGTTGATGACTGTGGGACAGTTGTCTTTTGAGTCCTGGTGGCCATCACCATCACTGAGGAAGAGGAGGGAGGGCATGTCAAACAAATGGCAAAACTTTACACATCTTCATACCACAGGTCATAGCAGTGGGCTCTACCTGTCTACGTTGTCATCACAGGTATCTCCTACGAGGTCGTCATCGGAGTCAGACTGCAGAAACACAAAACAAACACTGTTGGTCAGAGTTACCCGGACTACCGATCTCTCCAACAGCTTTTACCCAGAGGCCATCAGACTTGTGAATAACTCTCTCAGACTTTGCCCCCTCCCATCTCATTATCCCAGTCATGACCATCAGCACTAACACTAGTCACTTTATTGATTTACACACTGTACCATACCCATCCTATATCATTCATATTCATATGCATACTGCTATGTCTATCTTTCTTATTATTATGCATATTTATATATGTATACACCATACTCTACCCTGCTGTTTATATATCATATTTATTTTATCATGCAGCACATTATGTACTTTTATTCTGAGACTTTTTAATGTACATCAGCTAATATTTTACAATTTTTCTTATGCTAGTTTTTATCTTATATGTTTGTTCATATGTATAGTTTCTTAAAATGTTGGTGTGGAGAGCTGAGCGTGTGGAGCCTGTTATACCGTACACATGACAATAAAATATCTTATGGCAGCAGGTTATTACTTTTCAGGTGTTTTTTGGTTTGTTACCTGGTTAGGGTTGAACATATCAGGACAGCTGTCACAGGCATCTCCCACCCCATCGTTGTCTTTGTCCTCCTGGTCTGTGTTGGGCACTCGCTGGCAGTTGTCGAGGATATTCTTCAAGCCTGCGGACACATTCACCTCAACTCCTTTATTTCTGCGTCATGTTCAAAAGCCATGACGCAGAGAGGAAAATCAAAAAAGCATGACAGGACGCAGCCCAAAGTCAGACACGGTCCGTCAAACGCATCACCAGATGGCAGTGTTTGTTGAAGACGGAGGTTAAATAGTTTCCAGTGGCC